ATCATCTTCATCATCATCATCATCATCATCATCATCATCATCATCATCATCATCATCATATCACCATCATCATCATTACTATCATCATATGCCCGCTTGCTGGAGGTTCCAAGCCCTCCCCGTCAATTGGGAATCCAGCACTCTACGGGAGGACATGTGCTACAAGTGCCGGTTCTGCCAGGATCCCCCTCTCCTCTCTCCACGATCGATCGAGCGGCGGGCGGGAGAAGGCGGCGGCAGCCACGGTCCGCGGCGACGGCGGCGGCAGGCAGGCGGCAGAAAATCCATCCTCCCGCCAGGTGTCGGGAACAATTGAGCAACACTCATGCATCGGGGGCGCGCAAACATGGATTAGCGATCCATGGATTAGGCGCACGGTCGCCAAATCCATTGATCGGGGGAGGTGCCCTCCCCAAAATGCGGCCGGTGCTGCCTCGTTCGGCGGCGGAAATCCGCGATTTCCCATGGAAACTGGACCCGTCGCTAATCCACGCCCCCTTAATCCATGTTTGCGATCGCCTGAATGCAGAGCATAGTTTGAACTCCCCCTCCCTCCCCCAAATGCAGAGTTGGCTTCGGATCTTCCGATCTGGGGCCTCCGAGTTTTTCTGCGAGGAGCGTGCCAGCTCTGAGCTGCGGGGGCAAGGGGGAAATGTTGCTGAAGTTCGTCCCTCCTCCCTCTCCCTCCTCCCACTCCATCACCCAATCTTCTATTGCATCTTCGGGGGACCTTGTCTGTTCCTTCGCGCCCCTATCAACGTCGAATCCGTGTCGAATCCATGTCGGGCTCGTCGAGTCTGTGTCGAATCCGTGTCGAATCCGTCCCAAATACACGTTCAGTCCGCATCAAGCCCGCGTCGGGCACCCGAAAAGACACCAATTTTGGGGACGCACGAGGTCCCCCGAAGATGCATCTCTCTCTCTCTCTCTGTATCCCCCTCCCCCTCCCCCCCAGATGCAATGTAGGTTTCGGATATTCCGATTTTGGGCCTCCGAGTGGTCTTCAAGGAATGTGCCAACTTTGAATTGCGGGGGAGGGGGGGGAGTTTGCTTCATTTCGTCAAGCCTCCCTCTCCCTCCTCCCGCTCCAGCCCCCATTCTCTCCCTCTCTCTCCCCCTCCTGGGGAAACCGAAAGGTACTGATACCACTACTCCCCGGACCTCTCCCGGGGTGCGTTCGGACCAGGATTTCGAGGCGAATCAGGCGGTAGCGACGAGGGCCTCCCAGGAGGCCGAAACAGGGGACGAAAAGGGCGAAGGGTAGCAGTATGGGTACCTTTTCCTCCTCCCCCCCTCCGGCCCACACAGGGCTCCCACATCCGACGGCCCGATCTCCTCACTCGGGCCTGGACCCCGCGCCTGGACCTCCCGACCCTGATGGTGAGTCCGCACCTCCCTTTGCAGGTTGGGGCCAATGGCCCTTGTCGGTGATCAATGGGTGATTGGGGGTCGATGCATCCCCCCCCATGCCTAGCATAGGCGGCACGCCCAGGGGGGTGAGAAGGGGCGGGCCTTCTCAGAAGGCTCAGAAGTACCCTGGCCTTCTGAGAAGTTTTCCAAGCCTTCCCCGAAGACACAAAACACCTCTCGGAAGGCGCGAGGGCTCCTGAGCAGCCCCGCCGCCTTCTGAGAGGGCCTTCTCCTGCTGACTCCCCCCCTTCGCTCGCCGCCGATACCACCCCCCTGCCGTTGCCCCCCCTGGCCCACACGGGGCTCCCACGTCCGACGGCCCGACCTCCTCCTTCAGGCCTGGCGGGCCCCGCGCCTGGGAACCCTCGACGCCCCCCCACTCACTGCCCCCCCCCCAGGGGGGGCCGGCTCCTCGCCACGAGCCCCTGCCCACACCCAGGGGCCCAGGGACTCACAGACGAACAATCTCACGAATCCCAGGATTCCCCATACGCTCCTACGTCTTCTGTGTGTTTTCGTCAGGAGGGGGAGGAGGAGGAGGAGGAGGAGGAGGAGGAGGAGAACTTTCCCACATTTTCCTAGGAAACGACGACTCGTTGCGTATGTGTATTGTTTTCCCTCCTGAGCCCAACGGTCCCAGGGCCCAGAACCGGCTCCCTGGACGCCGAGTTTTGCGACACGCCGCTGATGCAAACTTGGGAACGAGATGCCTGGAGGCCTGGTAAATTTGGGCATCGTTGAACCGATCCCCATCCCCAGCGGCGTGGCCTGGGCCCCGCTGGCCGATTTACCCCCCTAGATGGGGATATAGGTCCTTCCCTTCGGGTTTCGAAGGGGATGAGGATGGGGATGGGGATCGGCTAAACGATACCGAGAATTCCGCTCCCTGGGGCCCCCCCTGCCTCCCTGAGCGGCCACGGGCCGATGCGAGCCTCCGCCACCTAACTCGGGCCAGCCAGGGCCGTGCCACGAACTCCCGGGCCTGCCGCGAAGCGGCTCCCGGTCCTGGATCGGGCAGGGGGGGACTGACCCCATGTCAGCGAACTGCCGAAGAATTGCACCAGATCAGCGGGGCGCACAGAGACATACTAATACTATCTGTCCTCCGTGGAGGCGCGCGTCCGACCCGACCATAGTATAACCATATTGTGGTATATCGTTTCCCGAGCGGTGTGGCCAAAACGCGCCCGCCACGACGCATATACAATTAGATTTCACGGTGCGCGCGTCGCCCCTGGGGGGCGACGAACACGTAGTATTAGTACTAGTACTAGTACTAGTACTAGTACTAGTACGAGTATTAGTTCTAGTAATAGTATTAGTATTAGTATTAGTATTAGTATTAGTATTAGTATTAGTATTAGTATTAATATTAGTATTAGTATTAGTATTAGTATTAGTATTAGTATTAGTATTAGTATTAGTATTAGTATTAGTATTAGTATTAGTATTAGTATTAGTATTAGTATTAGTAGTATTAGTCTTAGTATTAGTCTTAGTCTTAGTCTTAGTCTTAGTCTTAGTCTTAGTCTTAAAATTAGTATTAGTATTAGTATTAGTATTAGTATTAGTATTGTATTAGTTAGTATTAGTATTATTAGTATTAGTATTAGTATTAGTATTAGTATTAGTATTAGTATTAGTATTAGTCTTAGTATTAGTATTAGTATTAATATTAGTATTAGTATTAGTATCAGTATGAGTATTAGTATTAATATTCTTCGTATCAGTATTAGTATTAGCATTAGTATTAGCATCAGTGTTAGTATTAGTACTAGTATTAGTATAAGTATTAGCAATAGGATTAGGATTCATATTAGTATTAGTATTCGTATTATTATTCGAATTAGTATATGTATTAGTATTAGTATTAGTATAAGTATTAGTAGTAGTAGTAGTAGTATTGGTATTAGTATTAGTATTAGTATTAGTATTAGTGTGAGTATTAGTATTAGTATTAGTATTAGTATTAGTATTAGTATCAGTACTAGTACTAGTATGAGTATTAGTAGTAGTAGCAGTAGTAGTAGTAGTATCTGTATTAGTATTAGTTTTAGTATTCGTATTAGTATTAGTATTAGTATTAGTATTAGTATTAGTATTAGTATTAGTATTAGTATTAGTATTCGTATTAGTATTAGTATTAGTATTAGTATTAGTATTAGTATTAGTATTAGGATTCGTATTATTACTATTAGTATTAATATTAGTATTAGCTTAGTATTAGTATTAGTCTTAGTCTTAGTATTAGTATTAGTATTAGTATTAGTATTAATATTATTATTAATAGTAGTATTCGTATTATTATTAGTATTCGTATTAGTATTAGTAGTAGTATCAGTATTAGTATTCGTATTCGTATTAGTATTAGTATTAGTATTAGTATTAGTATCAGTACCAGTATCAGTATCAGTATTAGTATTAGGATTAGTATTAGTATTAGTATTAGTATTAGTATTATTATTAGTATTCGTATTAGTATTAGTATTAGTATTAGTATTAGTATTAGTATTACTATTAGTATTAGTATTAGTATTAGTATTACTATTAGTATTAGTATTAGTCTTACGGCTTACGTCTTAGTCTTAGTCTTAGTATTAGTATTAGCATTAGTATTAGTATTAGTAGTAGTGTTAGTATTAGTGATAGTATTAGTATTAGTATTCGTATATGTATTAGTATTAGTATTAGTGTTAGTATTAGCATTAGTATTAGTATTAGTATTAGTATTACTATTAGTATTAGTATTAGTATTAGCATTAGCATTAGCATTAGTATTAGTATTAGTATTAGTATTAATATTAGTATTAGTATTAGTATTCGTATTCGTATTCGTATTCGTATTAGTATTAGTATTCGTATTAGTATTCGTATTAGTATTAGTATTAGTATTAGTATTAATATTAGTATCTGTATTAGTATTAGTATTAGTATTAGTATTAGTAATAATATGAGTATGAGTATGAGTTTTAGTATTAGTATTAGTATTAGTATTAGTATTAGTATTAATATTCGTATTAGTATTAGTATTAGTACTAGTATTAGTATTAGCATTAGTATTCGTATTAGTATTAGTATTAGTATTAGTATTAGTATTAGTATTAGTATTAGTATTAGTATTAGTATTAGATTACACGGTGCGCGCGCGTCCCTGGCGGCGGAAACGTTGATATCAACGTCTCCGCCGCCAGGGACGCCTGTCCCAGGACGGCTAGGGAATGCACACCCCCGCGTGCCAGAGGCTCTCCGGCCGCCCTGGGACCGGCGGTCCCCGACGGAGCAGACAGATGTGGCACGACGCCCTTCAAGTCTGCGCCAACCCCTGCCATGCATTGTGTATATATATGTATATATATATATGTATGTGTATATATATATAGATATATGTGTATATATGTATATTATATATATATATATATATATATATATGTTGTTGGATCTGCGCGGAGCGCGCCAGGCGCCGGAAACGCCGCCGGGGGGGCCCAGCGCGGATCCAAGAAATCCGCGCGGGGCGCCAGAAGTTTGTATGCTTGTGGCCTGGCTTCTTCTTCGGACATCTGCGCCCCGACCCGAAAAAAAAGGGCGCTCGCCAGCGGGCGGCACGAACGCGCAGCGGAGCGCCAGGCCGGCGCAGGCGAAGGCGGCCACCACGAGCAGGGCGCTGGAGCGCTGGGCGGGCATCGTCTCTTCTTCCTCGGGGCGGGCACCGACTGCTCGCCTCGGCGGCCCTCGGCGGCCCTCGGCGGCCCTCGGCGGCCTGCGGCGGCCCTCGGCGGTCCTCGGCGGCCCTCGGCGGCCTGCGGCGGCCCTCAGTGACCCTCGGTGACCTTCGGCGGCGATCGGCGGCCCTCGTCGGCATGCGGCGGCCCTCGGCAACGATCGGCGGCCTTCGGCGGCCTTCGGCTGCCTTCGGCGGCCCTCGGTGACCCTCTGGCAGCAGCCTTCGGCGGCGGCCCTCGGCGGCAGCCGGGGCCGGGGGCGGTGCTCCCGCACCCTCGGCTTGCTCAGGGCGGCCCCGAGAGGGCCACGGCCGCCCGAGACGGTGCCAAACAGTGGCCTGGTCGAGGCGGCTTCTTGGCGTCTCTGCCGGCCACCGCCTCTGATGCATCCTTTTGGGAGAGGCTGCGCCGCCACTCTGCAGACCTCTCCCAGGGTGCGCTCTGCCTGGGGCTGCGAGGCGAATCCGGCCGTGGCGATAAGGGCCCGCCACCACCCCAAGCGGCCCCTGCTCTTGGAGGGCCGCCAAAACTGCACGTCCTCGCCGGCCTCGGGGGAGGGGTCGTTTCGCAGGAGGTCGGCCAATATTGCTGGGTGGCCCGAGTGTTAAACCCACGAGGCTCCTCTTGTTTCATCTCTCCCCAAACAATGCTAGCACTGAGGGGTTCTCTCTTTTGTGCTTCAAGGACCCGGATGTGTCGACCGAGACTTCCGCTGGTGCCTGCCCGTGGGCGCCTCGGGGGGCCTCGTTGGCGCCTCGTGCTCTGGGCGGGTCAGCCGAGGTTTCGGCTGGTGCCCGCCCGCTGGCGGGTGGGCGCCTCGCGCGCTGGATGGGTCAGCCGAGGTTTCACCTGGGTGCCCGCTCGCGCGCGCCTCGTGCGCTGAGTGGGTCAACCAAGGTTTCGCCTGGTGTCCGCCCGTGGGCGCCTCATGGGCCCCTCGTGGGCGCCTCGTGGGCGCCTCTTGCGCTGGGCGGCCGCACTGCTTGCACCACAGAGCTTGCATAACATAGCTTACACCACATAGCTGGCACTAAGTAGCTTACTCCAAGTACGTACCTTGCACCACATCGACCAAATCCCACCAGCCTTTTAGGGCGTGAGTGGTTAGAGAGTTTCCTCTTCCAACCCCCCTTTCTGCCCCTTCTGGGAGGGGGGTTTAAACACCCCCTCCCCCAGGCGACTGGTAGCCAACCAGGAACCATGAGGACCCCCCCACCATCCCTGGTTAACAAAAAAACCATACAAAACACACTCTGCCTCCAAATTCGGAGCGTGCGCAGCCAACCCGATGCGGCATCCCCCCACCATCACTGTCAAAAAACAATACAGAGTACACTTGGCGGCGGCGGCGGCTGCGGCGGCTGCGGCGGCGGCGGCTGCGGCGGCTGCGGCGGCTGCGGCGGCTGCGGCGGTGGCGGCGGCGGCGGGGGCGGCGGCGGCGGCGGCGGCTGCGGCGACGGCGATGGCGGCGGTGGCGGCGGCGGTGGTGGTGGCGGCAGCCGCTGCGGCGGCAGCGGCTGCGGCGGCGGCGGGCCCGCAGTAGCTGCCCATCCAAAGACGATTGCTGAATATGCTGAGGCTCGGGCCAGACTCGGGTGCTACGTATGTGTTGGGAGGGCGGGTGGGAGTGAGCGAGACGGCTTGCGGGTGGGGAGGGAGTCTTGACCCCTCCCCCTACCCCCTCTCCCTGGACCGGGGAGGGGGGTGTCGCGGCCAGTTAGAACGTCCAAGATGGCTTCGGCGAGAAGGCCAGAACCATTCATTTCACTACGGGTTTGGCCCAATTTCAGCATCCTGGGGGGAGAAACGCTGATTGAGTACGCCCCCTTCTCTGATCGAACTCCTCCAAGATGGCCTCGAGATGGCCCACAAGGCTCCCCCAAGAGTGCCCCAAGAGGGCTCCAAGAGGCGCCCAGGAGGCCCCAAGTGGCCCCCAAGAGGTCCCCAAGAGGCTCCTAAGAAACACCCAAGAGGCCCCGAGAGGCTCCCCCGAGGCACTAAAGACGCACCAAGATGCCCCCGGGGCCGGCCAAAGCCCCCCAGGACGCCACAAGAGGACTCCAAGAAGCTCTCGAGACATCCGAAGAGACCCCGAGAGGCATCCAAGAGGCCTCTGGCCTTTCTGGTCGCCATCCTCCTCCTCTTCCTCATCCGGCCATTTTTCCTCCTTCCTCCTCCCTCCACAATCACTCAATATGAATACTACTCTCCCTCTTCCCCTGATGAAGGCCTGGGAGTGTCCGACCCCGCCCCGCGTACTGTTTTTTTGCACAGGTTTCCCCGGAGTTGGGTTTTCGCCTGCATTTTTTCAAAATGCTGCTCTCGCTGAGGCGCCGGCCTCATTTTTGGGCCCCGCTCGTTCCGAATCGTGCTCCCGCTGCAGCCCTGGCCTCATTTCCGTGCTTCCGCTCGTTCCGAATCGTGCTCCCGCTGCAGAGCTGGCCTTATTTCCGCGCTTCCGCTCGTTTCGACTCGTGCTCCCGCTGCAGCGCTGGCGTCATTTCCCGTGCCATGCCACGGCATGCAATGCAGTGCTAGGTTGATACTACGCTTTGCGGTGCTCTTCTACGCCATGCCATGCCGTGCTCTACAATGCATCGCGTACCCTTTCGGGATCATTGCCCTGCTCGACATCCGACTGCGCGAGTAGAGAGGGGATCTGCGCCATGGTAAGGGATGGGAGGGAGGGGTAGGATGTCAGATATGACGCGAAGCACCTAGCTTGCCCCCTCCCCCTCTCCCTACTCCCTCCCCTCCCCCTCCTCCTCCAATTCCTCCTCCATCCTCCCCCTCTTGGTATATGACAGCTTCCCCAGTCCTTCGTTCCACTGCATCCTCCTCCACATCCCTGATCAGGGCAACTCGCCTGGGCATCGTTTCTGGATGGGCTGGTAGGGTGATGCGAAACATCTAGAATAGCTTACACCACATACGTAGCTTTCACCGTATAGATTGCTCCGCATGGCTTACAGCACATAGCTTACACTATAAATGTGACCCGCATAGCTTACACCTACACGTCAGTGCTTGCACCACATACCTTACGACACGGCGCTTGCGCCACATAGCTTACGCAGCCACGGAGCAGACATTTGGTGCCTGACGTCCACGCTGGCAAACATTTTACTCAGCGCTCACCTGGGCGGAGAGGAGGCCGAGGCGAGAGGGAAACGCATCTGGCCGACACTCGTCCCCACCCGTCCACGCGGAGGCCAGGAGCGGCCCGCTGCCCGCGAAGAAGTGAAGAGCGAGGCTCCCACGGACCGCCTGGCCGCTGCGATTGCCGCCAGCCGGGGGGGGGGGGGGCGCGAGGGGGACCGCCCCCCCCCCCCTCCGACACGCGCATCGGACCCTGCAGGACGTGGCGCCCGACGGCTCCTCGGCGCACTGCGCCGGCAGAGGCGTTGAGCACCGCTGATCCGCTCCCCGTCCCCACGGGCGTGGCCTGGGCCCCACTGGCCGATTCACCCCCCTGGATGGGGATGCATCCCCAACTGGAGGGGGGAATCTGGTGGGGGCCTCGAAGGGGACGAGGATGAGGATGGGGGTCGGTGAAACGATACTGCAGCGTACCCCCTCGGGGGTCCCCAGACGGTGCGGCAAGTGACGAAACCCCCAACGATCTCAGCGTACGGCCCGTTACCGCACCGCCTTGGGACCTCGGAGGCCCCGCTCGCCCGCGACGTCCTGGGAGAGCGACCCGAGTCCGAAGGGCGTGCGGCCACTCCGAATCCCCACTGGCCCACCCCACGGCGGGGTCACCGCACTTGCTCTCGGGCCCAAACTCGGCTCTCCGGCGGCCGATCGGGACGATACTGACACCGACACCCCCAGAACGCCCTCGGCGAGGCGCAGCTGATGGAAGCCACCCCGGGGTTCGGAAACGCTCGAGAATTGCGGAGAAGTCTCGAAAACTTCCGAAAACCATCGGCTCACTGCGCGGTGTGGTCACCGCACCGTCCGGGGCCCCCCCCTTGCACTCTGCTTGCTCAGGGCCCTCTGCGGGGAACCCGGAACAGACGGCCCAAGGGTGCTCCACGACGAGCGGTCCCGGCGCTCCCGCGGGCCCTCGCTGGGCCCCGAAACTCGCAGCTCTGCTCACCTGCTGCTGCTGCTGCTGCTGCTGCTGCTGCTGCTTGCGCCCCATGTTTTGTTGTTATGTTTCTCTCTCTATATATATATATATATATATATGTTTCTTCTCTCTCTCTATATATATATATATTTATATATGTATTTAGTTATCTCTCTATCTAAATTACGCACACACAGCTATATACATATATATATATATATAATACATGTATATACGTAAATCGAAAATACACAGGGTAGGCTGCATCATATTACATCATGGGTGCCTCCATACTAGAAAAGACCGTGGAGGAGAAGGGGGAGGAGGAGGGAGAGAAAAAAGGAGAAGAGAAGAGAAGAGAAGAGAAGAGAAGAGAAGAGAAGAGAAGAGAAGAGAAGAGAAGAGAAGAGAAGAGACAAAATAAAAGAGAATCTCATAAACAATATGAGAAGATAACCTGGGGGGGGCCCGGCGAAAAGTACCCCGACCGCAGCCCGGGAAGGTCTACTCAGAGATGGTTTTCCTCCTGGGTACGGCCTGTCAGGCCCCCCAGAGCGCGCCAAGAGGGCCCCAAGAGGCCCCTAAGACTGCCCAAGAGGCCCCCGAGACGCCCAAAGGACGCTCCAAGACGCCGAAGATGATCCCAAGACGGCCCAAGAAGCCGCCAAGACGCTCCAAGTGGCCTCCAAGAGGCCTCACAAGAGCGCCCCGAGAGGCCAAAATCATCAATTGCACGATGGTTTTGGAAGGATTTTGGCCTTGTCGCATTTTCGGCTTTCCGATGCTCCAAGACGGCCCAAGAGGCCCACAAGAGCGCACGAAGACGGCTCAAGAGGCTTCCAAGAAGGCCCCCAGAGAGCCCAAACGGGCCCCGAGACGGCCCAAGAGACGCCCAAGAC